TTGTATGGGATATACCCAAAGATAGTGAGTATAATGATCAAGAAACAAAACATAATATTGCAAACCACCATTACTAGAAATAGGAGATGTCCATACATCAGAATGAATAATCTCAAAAGGTTCAGAAACAGTAGAATTAGACAAATGAAATGGGAGCCTAATATGTTTTTCAAGCTGACAAGCATGACAAGGAACATTATTTTTTGATAAACGACAAGAAATAGAACTAGTTGAAAGTAAATGCTTCAAGACTTGATCGACGGGATGACCTAGTCGTTGATGCCAAGTGTTTGACGAGGTGGTGGTGAATGCATGACTTGTGGAGCTGGTGACAGGATAGAGAGGCCCGGGGCTGTCACAACGGATGAGAGGACGACGAGTCTGATAATCAAGAATGGTAAAACCGTAAGGATCAAAATCAATGGAACAGTTATTATGTGTAGTAAACCTGCGAACAAAAATGAGATTTTTTATAATATTTGGTGTAATGAGGACATTTTGTAGGTGAAGAGTGCGATAAATATTTGGGACTGGAAAAATGGAATGTCCCGATGTCACAACAGGTATTGCAGAACCATTACCGACATAAATAGAACGAGGAGAATAATGATTATTAGACACGAAATTTAGTATACCTCTATTTGTGTGAACATGGTCAGTTGCGCCAGTATCCATGACCCATCCGCTATTTCCCGGGTCATTTAATGTCATGGTATTGAACAAATGCGGAAGTGATGTGGTCTGATCGCTGCCTAACCAGGCCCAGGGAGGCTGATTTGGGCCAGAAGACTGCATATGGGCATGCGGGGTACTTGCTGATGGGGTAGAGGGTCTGCTTCCAAGAAGACATGGGCTAGTGGAGTTAGTTTTTCCCCAGAATGGGCTGTTTTGAGGAGCCGGCTATGAAAATGAGTGGGAGTTAGCTCACGGGTGTTGGTTTTGACCGTACGCTGTCCATGAGTGATGATCGGAAGCGGGCGGTGGAATATATACCCACCCATATTGGTTGGTGTGAGGCGGTGGACCTGCAGCGAAGGGAGGACCCTGTTGACGGCGACGATAGTTGTGACGACCTCCTCCACGACAGGCGGAATTCCCACGGTATGAACCGCCCCCACCCCCATGAGTTGGCAACGGAGATGAAGTGGCAGCGTGGAGAAGGGAGGGAGCGGAGCTGTGGTTTTCATGTGACTGAACAGTGAGACGGGAATTATTGATTCTCGTTTCTTCAACTAGTAACATGGATCTCATCTCGGAGAGAGTGGGTATGGGTTTGGAGAACCGAATAACACTAGCAACAGTGTCATATTTGCTCGGGAGGCCGTTTAGAGCATGAAGAACAACAGTGCGGTCTTTCATCTTTTCGCCAAGTCCCTCCAGTAAATTTGTTGTCTTCTTGATTTTCTCAAAGTACTCATGAATAGTTGAGTCCCCCAGTGTGATGTTTCTCAACTCATTCTCTAGATGCATGGCTGTGGATTCGACATCATCATAGAAGAGGGCATGTAAGTTCAGCCATGCGAGCTGTTGCTTTAATGGAGTAGGCAGAAGTAATGAGTTTTTGAGATACAGATATGAAAAGCCATAATTTTACGATCTGATCGAGTTCTTCCCATTCTGTGGTCGTAGGGGGGGGGGGGCAGTTTGGAGGGTCATTGGTTGAGTCGATGTGGTCATCAACACCATACGCAATACAGTGAGCATGAAAGAGATCACTTCATGGTTCATAGTTATGGGCTGTGAGATCGAGAATGAGAGGTACGTAGTTTTTAATATTGGTGATACCATAGGCTTTATGTGGAGGTTTAGTATTAGAACTGTTGTCGCCTGTCATGAAGATGAAGCAAGAAGGAGAAGAAGAAGACAGAACACGAAAAAGAAGAGAAGAAGATGCAGGAATCGGCTAGGGTTGAGGGTTATGGCTCTGATACCATATTAAGTCACAATCTCCATACGTATTTTCATTAACAAAATATAAAATATAATATATACAAGAGTATCATGGGCCAATACAATAATTAAATACAATATAAAATAGAATACAATAATGTGGTCGGCTAACAAATATGGTCATTTTGAAAATTATTATAAAACATAATTAGATATTTCAAATTGGCCATTTCAGATGGCTATTTTTTTTAATTCTCTCTTTTCTTAATTATTTAATGTAGGAAACTGGAAACTGTTTATCATAAAATCATAATCTTATTATGTAGAAATACTTAAAATAAATCGTATTTAAATTAGTAAAATGGTAAACATATTTGTTTTTCAGGTAATAATTTATTTTTTACAGCTAAATTGTTAAACTAAAAAAACTCAAAATGAAGACAACAATTAACATTACCATTTATTAAGCAACAAATAAATCCAAATCTGATTTATTTTCCTGATCAACAACATCAAGATACACAGGATCAACCGTCACGTGACTATCCACGTGTACCTTAAACCTATGTCCCCACCACGCAACCCTGGCCACACCTTCAATATCCACCGTCGCATCCAACACCATCTCCCGCCGCTTCAAGTCCGCCAGTACCTGCACCGGGTGGTGTGCCAGCTCCATGCTATTCAGCCGTGCCGGAAGATGGAGGAGCTGACAGGATTTTGGTGGTTGGGATCCCGCAGAGACCTTAGCGGTGCCGAGCAAGGATCCGGCGTAGAAAATCGACATCTCGGTGGAGGAGTAGTGGATGGGGACGGCGTTGGGGTTCGTTACGTGGACGGTGAGGACGACCTCGGCGTCGACTAACGGGAGGCTGAGCTTGAAGGAAGTGATGTTGATGGAAACGAGGTGGAACGTCGGATCTTTCGGCTTTGCCGACATCAGTGCTGCTGTGGCGGTTGCCGTTGCTGCTCCGATTAGGGCAGAGGTCCAGCTCCAATTGACCATTTTGACCCTGGCGGCGTTTCGTTTTCTCTGTGTTGCTGAAAATCTGGGTAGAAAATGTTTGCGTTGGTACTTTGGTCTTGATAGTATTGATAATCGGTGAGGTCAAAACTGTAAATTTCATTTCTGTGCGAGTGTGTACTTATTTTAGTTAGATTTTTTTTTTCAATTTCATATTATTTTTATTTGAGTAAATTAAAATATGGTTTTAGTTCTCTAACTTTTTTTTTTTTTTTCCTTATTACATAGTTTTGTTGCGCGATCGATCTCTGACAAAGGTAAAAAGACTGTTATATCCTTTTTATTCAATTTAATATATTTTTTAAATTATCTTTTAAAGATTTTAATAAAATAATTAATTCAATAGGACCCGTCCACCCACCCTTCACCACTTCTTCTGCTGGAATGCAAACCCACATCCCATCCTCTCTTATTTTTCCGGCGAGGCAATATCTTCTCCGGCAAGATTGTAAAAATTGCTCCTTCTTGTTAAACTCCATATTTGCCCTCCTGAACGACCACCGCTACCAATCTATACCCATGCTTGTTAAACACACTGGCAGACCTTAGTGGAGCATTGGGGGTCCCGGGCCATTGCTCAATTTCCGGCACGTAGTGTAACTTTTTTTTTTTTTTTTTTTTGTTTTTTCTATTAGACCCTACTAAAACAGTTTGTATTCGCCACTGGTTAACCCATTCCCTTCCTTCTCTTTTTCATCGGTGACCTCATTCTCCCCTCTGTTGCATATCATCCACCATCACCATCCCTAAAAACCTCAACACATATACACATACAAGACAATCCTAGTTCAATCACAAAACAAAATACCCAAAATTGTGAAATCGGTTTTACAAAACCACTTCACCGAAGTTGCCTCTTCCCTTCATGCCGGAAATGTCACAGATAATGGGAAGGTTTTGTGGGCATAAGGGGGTGTTTATCGAAGATGAAGATGTTGGGTAATATTCAGTCGTCGACGGTGGAGATCTACAACGGTCTTCGATGGACTTGCCCTAAACAGCCATGTTACCAATAACGAACGTAGATCTACAGCGGTCTCCGACGGACTTGCCCTAAACAACCATGAAATCGATGTTGGTTACATGATGAAATCGACAACGTCGTCGTTAAATCAGACGACATCGGTTAAATGGTTTTGTCAGACGTTGAAGTTACTCGGACGTAAATATGTTGATGGGTGGTGTCGGACGTTGGGTACTTGGGTTGACAAGTGAGAGACGGGGGCGATTGTAACACCCCGTTTATAAAATAAATAAATAATGTATAGAAGCCCTAAAATGAATAATAATTGAGCGAGGCGTTAGTTTCGAGGAGTTAAAAGTCATAATTACAGAAGTCAGGGTGCGTTTTGTAATTAATGGACTTAAATTGAAGATATTTGAAGGCTTAAGGGTTTATTGGTAATTCAGGGATCTATTATGAAAGAAATTTATGGGATCAGGGCTTAAAATGTAAGTTTTGGATTCATTTTGTAAAGATTTCGGAAGGCAGGGTTAAAAGTGTAACATATGAACTTATTTTGAAAGAAAAGAAGGAAGGAGGGATCGATTATGTTAAAATGGGGAAATGTTTTGAGAGGCATCGGGTATATATTTGTCTTAAGGAACCCTAACCCTAATACATGTTG